CCTGATAACCGTCCTATCAAAACCTGAGCTGTAAATATCTGCAGCTCCTCCAGGTTGACCTCTTGGCTGCTTTCATAACTCAGCCGGTCAGTTAAGATTGGCATTCATGTAATGGTTAAGCCTGTTGAAATAAGCAATGAATAAATCAATCGCATGGTAAATTTTCCAACAAAAACAGAAAGGCAAAAGTCTGGAGTCAAGTTGCAGTTTGAAGATGCAGATTATATTGATAAAAATTCAGTTTTAAAAAGGCAGAAACTGTCCCGTATGCGTGAGAGACTTGTATGTGCCAAAATGCCCCATTTACATGAAATCACCCTTCAGTGGCAGCATGTTTGCTCTGATACTGCCATCTGCAGAGGGTGTGGCCACAGGTGAGGAGGATTTGAGGTCATAGCAACAGCAGCAGGAAGTAAACACAGAGCTGGAGGCTATACGGGCCGCCAACCACAAAGCTCTAAACACAGAGTGAGCGATCTCAACTTAAGGCAAAAGGCACAAACTTGGGGCAACTGCAGTTTATTCAAATTATTAGTCATTAAAGCATGCAAATTTAAATATATATCAGTCAAAGTCTGCATTCTTCCAAAAGTGTCTCTTATTATATTTCATGTGATCCACAAAAATTCAACATAAGCAGCTGACAAGATATTCATTCCCCTTATGTGTTCACACTGAATGATGCTGCAGTCACATGATGCTTTATCCAAAAGCCCCAGTTTGAAAATCAAACTGACAGAGCAGCTCATTTCTTACACACACATTTTACTATAAAGATATGTGAAACTAAAACACCTGAAGCTAATCTCTCTCTGAAAATAATATGTACAACCTGACATGCTCCAAGCTGAAGCCTCGATTTCTTTTAAATCACGTGACTTGAAAGAATCAACTAGTGCAGTATAATTATGTCGCCAAAAGGTGGTGCTGTTGCTGGAAGGTGCGTGTTGAACCATTTATGGGAAATGCTTGTGGAGTTGGGAAATACAACACTGTCATAAAGCAGGATGTCTTTTCGAAGACCTGCTGTCTATGAAACACACACACACACACACACACACACACACACACACACACACACACACACACACACACACACACACACACACACACACACACACACACACACACACACACACACACACACTCCAAAATGTTGGACTTCTGGGACCCCCATCATGGAGTCCTGTACAAAGGACTCCAAAATAAAACATTGACACTACAAGGTTAATATACAGATAGTCGTCAAATTATGAAAATTTAAGAGTCTTGGACAACTACACCTGAGCAACTGGATTATGCATAACCTTCGACTTATATTTTAGTACATTTAACAGGATGAGAGAACAATATACAATTCAAATGAGATTTTGACATTTTCTTATTGGTTGGCACATAAAATGGTCATTTTATTTCAGTTAATCAATACTTTGCACTTTTTTGTTACTGCAAATCTTAGAAGTGATAGATAACATAAGTATGGATCAGACGAAACCCGTCATCTTTGTAGTTCATCTTATCCAGACTCGACTTGGGTAACAATCAGTTCTAACAACTGGTAATTTCTTCTCGAAGCGTTTGAAGTGCATTTGAGGCGTGTCTCAGAGATAATGAGTAATGAATACAACTCAACCACACACACTCCACAAACTTAAATGAGCTGCAAAGCAATTTACACGAAAGCAGTTTTGGGTTTATGTAATTTAAGTAAAATGACATAGCCAATTTTTTTCTGTTTGTCTTTCCCCAGATTTGAGGAGGTATCTGTGGCAGCCTGTTATCTACCCTCCGCCTCAACATCTAGATGTCATCCTCTCACTGATGACTGATAAAGGAAGCATTCAGCTGCAAAGCAGATTCTGAGGAAGCCAGACCCAGACATACCACGGCTTCATTTGTTCACCCACTGTAACATAAACACTACATTCATAGCCTTTGGTGGATACGGGTTTAAGTCTTGAGTTTACTTTTGTTTATAAAAGTCTCCAAAGCTTTGGTTTGAGCAGGTGGTGGTACAAGGCTTGTCATCTTTCGTGATAACATTTCTACAAAGCAGTTATGTAAAAATCAGGTCAGGATTGTTGGGCATGAAGTTGTCACAGACTCGCACTTCGGTCCACTTCCTGGTTCAATAGCATGCCTCTCATTTGTCCTGCAGGCTCCTTGTCATGTCAAAGGTTACATTTATTTTGTGGTTTATTTTTATATTTCAAAACAATAAAACGGTGAGAAACCAACAAAACTGTCTGCTATCAATTCTATAAACTATATTGCTGCATGTTTCTCACGACATGAGTATGAGGCAACCATCAGTGATTTAAAGTAATTTGGTGCCACCTAGTGGTCAATTTTAGTTTTCCATTGTAGGTGGCCAGTTAAGCAGTAAAGTGTTTGCAAGCAAAGTAAATGCTGCAAAAAACAAAAGTAACCTTATATTTAGCTGGTGCAAAATGTTACCAGCATACTTTGAATTTTTCTTCATTTGTTAGAATTGAAGACATGACCAGAGTTTCAAAATATCTTCCATTAGAAGATAATTTGAACTCTGCTGAAGTGATGTAGAATTATTAACATTTTCCTGTGCCACTTTATGACTTTATTGCTGCTGCTGGTAAACCTGGATGACGACACATCTGGTAAACCGTAAAGTTTGCTTCAGGAATCCGTAAAGTCTTATCTCACGAGAGATAAAGCTGTTTATGGTAACAGTTACAGGTTGCCAACTTGTTATATTTTGAAATGTAGTATGGTTTTAGAATGTGAAGTCATTTAACGCTATGCAATTAAACTATATATTCCTGTGACCCACAAAAACATAGAAATATGATAAATATGTTTTAAGTTTGTTATTAGAGAAAAAAAAATTGCATTAATTTCCAAAAATGTAACAGAAAACTTGATGCCCAAGTGATTACTTGTCAAAATGAAGGCAAAGTTTGTGGATATTATTGTCAGTGTTTAAATGCATTTTAGTCTATTACGGTCTTCAGTAATAATAGTTCCTTATCCAAATAATAAAGTATATATGCATTTTCTATAAGAAAATATTTACTTTATTACTACATTGCCTATAAACTTGACATTACCTTTATTCTTATTTGGTCGTCTGCAGAGCAACAACATTGTTTTATTTAATATTTTACAAAAAGTTATCTAATTTTCAACATACAAATTGGATTAAATTGGCAACAAGCTCAAATAAAAGTTAAACATGCACTTAAACATTTAGTCTTAAAACGCTGCACCAGTATATTCAGTTTTTCTAAATAGCAATAGCTTAAAGTAACTTTTGCATCAAAATTAGATCAACTATGTTCAATACAAAAACATGTGGAATCAGATTCAAGCATCCGTTTAAATTATATTGTTTGCATTAATCAGGGTAGAAGTACAAAATATATCTCAGTTCTTCACATTAACAGTTAAATTCAAGCAAACAAGACTGAAAAGCTCAATAGACAAGTGGTTGTCCTGATGATTTTATAGCACAGATTGAAATTAGTAGAATAATATTAAACCTTTTTTTTTTTATCACATTCATTTTTTTCAGTCCTAAGCCAGAAATATGTTTAATAAGGCTTTAATGGAGAGCCCTGTGTAGTACAGAGTGTCATCATGATGCAGCTGCAGGAACAGACTGTCTGCAGTTCAGGGGAAGACGAAGCAGCTGCCATAATTCTAAATAAATTAAAAGATCAGAATGGTTCCTTTAAACAGAAACTGTGCTGGAAACCTCCATACTGTCGCTTTGTATCGAAAGGCATGCGCAGGCGGATTATTGCTGCAAACGAGACAAAAGACAGACCACCCACAATCACAAAGAAGTCCAAAGTGAGATACAGGGGCTTTCTTCAGATCTGTGAAGAGTTTGCTCAGAAACTGCAGCAGGTTGGTGCGAGGCCAGGACTTCTGGACACATGCGAGGCCAGGACTTCTGGACACATGCGTAGGGTCAAGAAGGGCAGCAACATGGCTGCAGTAAAGTTATTTTCTCACGCCAAGCTCACTGCAGGCTGCTTAGGACAGCTGGAAAGAGCAGAATTCAAGGCCCATTAATGTCACGATGACAGCAGAACATCCTGAAGCTTTTATGAGTCGGGTTGAGTCCAGGGGAGTGTTATCATTTACAGCGGATCTGCTATTAATATAAACTGAGATCAAAAATAATCTAAGTGCCGTCGTAATAAACAGTTTTATTAGGAAAGGCGATAGTCACTCAGCGATCAGCCAGAAAACTCCCGATTGTAATCGCTTTAGCAGTTTGTTAGAGCTTGTTCTAGTTCTTAAAAGGTTTCAAAGCGTTTGAAGTGTCAAATTTCAGTACATCACCAAAACACCAAAAAAAAAAAAAAAAAATCAAAAGCAGTAAAGTTAGAAATTTCTTTGTGACATAGATACAATACAAAACTGGGACAAAAACCAAAACACACATTTATATTGTAAAATTATTGAAATTCTGAATATTTGTCAGTAATTCATGGTGTTTTATTCCAGCTTCAAGCTGCTGAATATGATTTATTGCTTCTGACTCACTCAGAAATTCACGTCACCAGCGAAGTACAGATTAGCGCCATCAAGCGGTCATTTCTGATACAACATGCTTATAAAAGGCCTTTTCTTATATGAAGTAAAATGATTTGAATTTAAAAAGGAGTAATATTTATGTATTTTAAGTTTCTTACGTATTAAACTAATATTGTTTTTTACTATCAGTCATCAAAGCGATTTCGCAAAATGCAACCAGAGAATTAAACGAGAAAAATGAGGATGAGTAAAAACACTGAACAGCAATGCACGTACATTATTATACACAAACTATACTTATGTGTAATAAAAAGAAGATGGCTTTATATATTATAGAATATCATCATGGATCATTTAAAACAAGCATCAATAGGCCTACAGCTGAGGAAAAACAAATCATCATCATCATCATCATCATCATCATCATCGCCGAGCAGCTGTAGCCACACAAATTCTATTAAAAACATTAAACTTACCTTAAATCCATCACATTGTTCGGTTTCAGTGAATTAAAATCCTCAGAGCTTCAGCGAAACGAACAAAGATTCAGAGCCTTGAAGAAAACAGACGCTTTCACTTTTACTTTGGCCCCAATTTCATCTGCAGCTGCTTTACATTCCCAGCAGCTGCGGCTGTAGATCCCAGTGATTATCATCCCACACAACCAAATGCCAACATCTGCAGCCCAGCAGGGACGATTTAAACCAGGAGCATAAAATCCAAGACGAGAGTTTTGAACAGGATCCGCTGCGGCGCATCGTGTTGAAGCGAAAGTGAAATGACGGTAACAGTTGACGCCTTCACGGCTTCCACTGAAATACCCAGAAAAAAGCCTGCGAGGTTCTCCACAGCTCAACGCTGTCACAGAAAAAAGCAAAACTCAAGAAAAAACATCTGAAATGTTGGAGCTGCTCAGAGATTTTCCTCATCTAAGGTGGAAATATTAGATTTTTTAAAATCTGAGGGGCAAATGACAAAATGTAAACTTTATTATAAGTGTAAATGTTATTCATTCATATTAAATGTATATTTTAATTAAATGGACAGGTAGCACAATAAAAAAATCTTTATTAAAACCCAGTCACTTTTACATCATATCTTCATTCAAAACTGATTCTGCCTGCAGTTCATGTGATAAACCAACCATATGTGTTAAATTAAGGTCTATAACACACAGTATTGATTATGTTTTAAAAGATAATCAACTGGAAATGTGGTGTTACTTCTGTTTTTTTTTACTAATAGATCAAACTTGGTCACATTTAAAGGTGAACATCAGTTTTCAGGTTTTGGACGATTCAAACGTTTCCATATGCTTTGATCTGATCTGTTTCAGTGCAGATCTGATTATTAACACTGATATTCTGCTTTAAGGTGAACCTTCACCACACTTTAAAGTCAAATGCAGCTCCTGAAAGATTTTCTCCATCAAACTTCCCATCAACTCCAATGAACTTCTGGAGAGGAAATCCTCAGGATGCTGCCGCCGCTGACCTTGTGCCACCGGTGGAGACGGTGTGTCCACACGGACGCCCAGTGTTCATTGTCCAGCTCCAGCTTTAAGATTAAGGTCCAGAAGTTCAGTTAAATTCAAATTTATCCAAAGGACTTTCTCCATCTTTTCCATGTTCTTTATTTATTCAAAAATGAGAATAAATGTCCAATGAGTCCTGTTGGTCAGATTAAAAATACCTTTTGAAAATAATCTTTATGCAGGTAATAAACATACTTTTCCATTAATCCCACATTTCATTGGTCTGATGTAATATTCAAAGTTTTAATGTTGTGTTTTAATTAGCTGTTAGAAATATAGGTGTTAAAATCAACCTTTGTCTAAATCTTCTAGATAATGTGTTTCACTTGATCACTGAGATAAATGGACTTTTCAGTAACATGACTTTAATCTGGACTTCTTAAAGTTTTCTGTTTTTCATTCTTTCATAAAGGCCAATTGTGGAAAATGAAAAACTAATTATTGTTGCTGTCCTGGATTCTTGCAGCTCTGCTGTTGATCTCGGAGAAAATAAACAGACCTTGCTTTAAACTTAAATTTCATTGACTAATTAGGTGACTGCTGAGGGCAATTGGTTGCACTGGATTTTATTTAGGGGCATCAAAGTAAAGACAGTGAATACAAATGCACAACCAGTTGTCAGATTTTTATTTGTTAGACAATTTGAAGACAATTTGTATCATTTTACTGCTTATTTCCAATTACCGTAAGTGTTGGTCTGTTCATCAAATCATAAGAACATAATGGCATTAAAAAATAAATCAGTCAGTCTTTGAGACAAGCTCAACAAATAGATGAAATCTTTGGCAGAATCAGCAGATTTATAAGAACATTTACCCACTATACATGTGTGTTCTCTTCATTTTCTGCTTCCCTTTTCTTATTCACACAGCTCCTGTTTGAACAAAGGAACAAAATATCAGGAAAAACAATTCTGCACAAAACTAATAGATAAAGTTAAGTATCATCAGAAAAAGCCAATCAAAGTTGACCAAACAGAATGAAGAAGACATTTTACCACAAGTAAGTTTAACTTTTTAAATAATTGCAACAACTCACCCATGTAGCTGTTGCATGTCTGCTAGCGCCTCGGGTAAAGCTTTTCCATGGGTTTCTGGCAGCATGAAGCAGAAACCAGAACCACAGACGGCCATGACACCCATCACTACGTATGGAAGGGCCCTGAAGTAAAACCCTGAGACAGAACCGACCCCGCCATAATTTAATACCTCCTGAGAGAAACGTCAAGAACTGTAATGCTTGTTTGTTCAGTGAATAATAACAAGATGAAGCATGAGTCATTACAGTAACTCTCACTGACATCAGAGAAATAATTTTAAGCATTTGTATCTTAAAAAGTGGTCACAGATTTCACACTGACCCAGATAAATGACGAACGGGGAGATGATGGTTCCGACCCGTGCGGCGGTGGAGCAACATCCCATGGCTGTATTCCTGATGACGGTCGGGAAGAGCTCCGCCGTGAAGGCGTACAAAACGCAAAAACCCGATGTGACGCCAAATTTTCCCACCATCTCCAGCAGCACAGACACACCGGGTAAATCTGAGGCCAGAAAGTCAGACAGAAGAATCAGACCAACTGATCCGATTTCAAAATAGACTGAAACCACCTTGATGTTGACAAAACAAGTCAATTTTGATAAATAAAATAAAAAACGAGTAACTAAAATAAAATAACGAGTAAATAAAATAAAAAACATGTAATGTGACAGAAAAATGAAAAAATGATTTAATTACAGATTAAAATAATGATTTGATAAGCTTAATGTTTAGGAAAACACACATTTAGGTGCAACTTCGGTTGCTCCAATCTTATAAAAACATCCCAAATGCAAAAGTTTTATTCCAGTATTCCATAAGATTCTGATTTAAAGCAAATTGTTGGTAAGATGTGTGTCACTGCAGGAGTTTTTTATTTAATGCACATTTACTAAACTCATTGTTGAATTTTATGCAATGTCTGGACGATGCTACAGCTTCACCAATAATCCCACTCAGAGTTATTCTAGATGGATGGATATTATCCAGACACAAAGTTTAAAACTTCCTGAATAAGTGAACATCTTTTAAACCAGTTGTTTAAATTCTCGCCCAATTCTTTGCAGGAATAAATATGTTTAGATAATGGATGGATGAATATCTTTAATATTGTAAAAAAAATATATTTTTTATGTGTTTCTCTGTTTGTGTATTTCTGAACTTGGGTCTTGACTTTTCAATTTCTCACGCAGGTGAGTAAATATTTCAGACAAACAGTAACTACAAATAAATGTTAAATATTTTACTGTTTCTTGTGGTTGCTTGTAAGTATAGTGAATTAAATTTGGCTCCTACTGTCCAACATATTTGCAAACACCTGAGTCTATTCTGAAAAAGTTTTATAATTAGGAACTATAAAACTTGATGTATGAAAAACCCAACATGACTGCGCCGGCGGTGAACGCGGTGACTCTGTGTGGATCTTACCTATCGGAATGAGGTTAACACAAATGATCATAATGCCTCCAAGTAAGAGCGTTGCAGACAGACAGAGGCGTCTGGAGCAGTTGCGCAGCAGCAACAAGACAATGATGTACGCTGGAACCTCTGTAGCAGCAGACAGGAAGCAGTTCAGGTACGGGTCGCCGTGCAGGTTCGAAGTGTTGAGGATTAAAGCAAAGTAGTTCATGGCGACGATCATCCTGCCAAACAATCCAGGAAAAATCTTCAGCACAGGTGAGACGTAGAATATGATGCTACTGCACACATACCACAAGCTGGAAGAAAGCAACGCTGTGGTGAAAATGTTGCAGCTTTTCAGAAGGACCAAAATGTTGAATTTCTTGCCTTGGATCATCGATATTTTCTCAATCTTTGACAAAAAAAACAAAAACAAAACAAAGACAGGTGAAACATAGCAAGAAAAAAACAGTCTCCCATAAAAAATGTTGTGGGAACGTTTGCAAAAGACGAGATGATATTAATACAATATTACAGGACAGACATTCAGACGTACTTCTGGTTGTGTAAAAATGGCGTCTGGAGCCTCGACTTTATTCAGCTTCGCTGCATCTTTAAGAATTGCTTCAGCTTCGGCCGTTCTCCCCTGAGACAGCAGCCAGCGAGGAGACTCTGGGATGAACCTGTTCGGATACAAACATTTCACCTGCAAACCGTTTAAACTACTTCACAGATCAATTCACTCGGCTATAACCTCATTTATGTATTCCAAACAAACACAAAAACATTTTTAAACAGATACCAGCAGGTTCTAAACTTTAACATATTTTGGTTTTTCATTAAATTGCTGCCAAAGTGCATCTGACATTAAGTAAGAAATGATAGTGTTACGCAGGTCAAAATGTGAGAACAGTAAACTAATCTTGTGGGACATCATGATGACGTTTGTCTGTTACCTTTGGGATGTTGGACAGTATTCCATTTAATCATTTCTTTTTGCCATATTTTAGAACTGAGTGAGGATAAAAGTTCAGCATTTAAGTCATCAGATCATTATTTCTCTAAACTGAAGGCATTAAAGCTCCTGCCCATAGCAGATAAATGCCGACTTAAAATTGAACATACTCAAGTTTCTAAAATTCTGTTGCTCTATCATTTGGAGCGCAGCAGGTCCCAGAAGTCACAATCCAATTGAGTAATATGCAATTTCTCTTTTAAACGTGGCTAACTCTTTAGTAGTGGACAAAGAAAAACTGCTACAACAAGCTTCTGCACAAAGAGCCTGATTTAAGTATGAAAAAATATTTTAAGTCAATATTAAAAAAACCCCCGTTGTGAACTAAAAGTTAGCATGTATGAATTTTCTCACCACCACAGAGGGATGTAGATGAGGCCAGAGGCAGCCATGGCGACCAGCAGCATCCGCCATTCATTGAGAAAGAAAGCAACCACAGGCATCGCCATGTATCCCAAAGCTGAGCTCATGAAAACCCCGAGTGAGCAGAAAACCACCCTGGTTTTAGGGCTCAGAACTTCAGCTCCTGTTGGTGAATGCCATATTTTTATATCTGTTTATGGAGAATTGTTGACATTTAATAATGTCACATTCTGTTAACATTTTTGTTGGACCCAATACAGCCTGACTATCTGAGGTCAGATAGGATAATAAAATACATAATTATACATGCAATTAACCAATATTATAAAGTGTACTTTAAAAACACATACCCAGAACAAATGCAATGACATAGTTGGAGTATCCTCCAGCACCAACAATGAAGAAAATAAGGAGAAAGACCTCCCAGTTTGGAGAGAAGATCTGTGCCGTTAGCCCAACAGTTTGAACAGCCATCATGACAAACAGGATGGGCTTCCTTCCAAATCTGTACAACAAATACATTTGATCTGACTCCATGTATTCCTCACTGAGAAATTCAACTGACTGGGAAAGTATCGATATGCAGCTCATACCTGTCAGACAGCTGGCCTGAGAACAGAACTCCGAACAGAACCCCGATGTAATGAATGGAGGTAGTCAGTGGGTTTTTATATTGATTCTCACAGACCAAGTTCCACTGCAAAATCAGACAAAATCAAAAGATCGAGTGTGCAACTTTGAAAAAAAAAGAAAAAAAAAAATATATATATATTTGTTAAAATTGTCACCGTGTCGTGATAGCACAAAGCGAAGGGGAGAAGGAGGATGAGCTGCACCACACAAGATTGTGACTGACAGCACTAAGACCCGCCTCCCAGACTCTGGTAGTTCACAAATCATCAACATAGTGGCAGCTTCAACAAATATGTAAAAAAAAGATTTTTTTATAAATGTTTTGCTGCAGCTTTAATAATTTATCAGCCATTTGTAACAGGCATAGCAATTTCTCCCAACTCCCCCCCCAAAAACCAAAAACAGAATTATATCATATTTTCAAAATTGTGTAAATGACAGCCATTTGTTGCACACCTCTGTAACGATGGTTGACTGGTAGACGTCTTTGCTGTATGTCCATCCATCCAGACACGTCTCCAGGGGAATTTCACTGACATTCACATCCACATTTGGGATCAAGTTCTTTTGAGAGTAGTTCCTGACTGTTTCCAGGTTAAGCCTCCTGCAGGAGCTGCGTTTTGTGACGCCATCGACTGTTTCCATTGGGACTGACACATTCCTCCACATCTCACTGATGCTGTTGTTCTCAGGAATCTGGCATTCATGAGGCGGAGTGGCGCCTACAAAAACGATGTAGACGCCAACAAATCCATTTGGAATTATGCTGATGGAAAGCGCTAAAAAAATCCTCATCTGAAAGCGTTCCCAGGATCCCAGGAAAGAGGTGATGGTGTCATAGTTCCTGACCTTTTGGATATCCATTCTCTCACAATAAAAATCCTAACAGACTGCACAAAAACACAAGCAGATGTCTGATTCATTCACCTGTTATCTTCTTGAGATTTTTGAAAAATGTAAAGCATGGATCAAATTTAAATGCCAACTTCAGCTATTGGCAGAATCCAGCAGCATATTGATAATAATTGACAATGGTTGGAGGTTTGTCAGCAACTGATTAATTGTGGTCGCCATTCGGCTCGAAGCAAACATCCCACCGTCAACGTCGAATCTCAGTCAACATTGACGGTGTTTTGTAGAAAGCTACTGCGTAAGCAACCTGTGCTGCATGCGCATCGCCACATAATAGACGGATTGTTAGGTAGCACAGATAGTCAGAACACTGGGGTTCCTCAATACTCACACACTGCAGTCAGAGAGGTTTCCAGGAAAATAGGAAGTCATGGTCAAGGTTTGTCAATGGGAACACAATCCGTTACCCAGAAGGTTTAGAGGACAAATGACTATTTATTACATTTCCAAAACCTAAACGGAGTCTGGAATAATGCAAGAAAATGATCAAGGCCTGCAACCGACCCTGCAGGACTTTCTTTTAGAAAATCTAAAAGAAAAAGATTTTCTTTTAGTTTTAATAAAGATCAGCTTAGTGTGTGACAGCTTTTTTTCCACATTTAAAATCAGATGAATAAAACTATTTGTTGGTAAACCTGCACAAAGATTCTTGTTCTGCAGCAGAAAACCAGAGTTTTCTCTCCTTGTGGCATAATAAAACCGACAGTTGAATGAAACTGTGGTCAATGGCAACTACCACGTTTGTCTGCACAAATGTAAGTGATAGAAAACATTCAATTTTTTTCTCATTAAGACACTTATTGATAGTCAAATCAAAGATCAAAAAGTGAAGGTACTTGTGTTTGATTTTATATACGTAAATTTCAATGGTAGCTCTAAGGCAGCATGAAAACATTTGCTGAAGTGACTACATTTACATTTTCATATTTAAGCACTTTTAATGCACATTTTTATTTTTAAGCATTTCCTGAAGGCAGATTTTCAAAGCTGGTATTATTTACTCATTACTCCCTTGTTTTGTACAGCAAAATGCTCCAGACAGCGTTCAGACCTTGTGCTCCTCATTATTCTTCCAGGACTTGGGCTTTAACATTGACTTCGCCGTTGTTTCCTGTAAATAACCTTACAGACAACATGTAGGATGTCTGAAGGTTGGAGATTACCGTCATCTACTGGAATGGCATGTAGATTCCACAAACGCAGTATTACTACGAATACTGAGTTTCCTAGCAACTCAGTATATATATAAATATATGCTAAATGCATATTTAGCATCCCGGCAAATGTCAAAGGACTTCTGCAGGAGTCCTTTGACATTTAGTTCATGTTTAAGGAATGAACATTAGTCTACTAGAAAATGTCTGTGTATATTTTAAAAGGATACAATCTAAGCAGATTAGTTTATCTTTTAATTTTTTTGCAGGTGGGTAAGTTAGGAAGAACCCGGTGAGGTCAGATAAGTTTGTTATGCTTATAATAAAGTCATTGGATTAGAGCTAGAAATGTCAAAATGTTTATCCACAACAATTTCCCTGGCTTCGAATTGTAAGTGGCTGACATATTAAACCCCCAAAATAATACTTGAGCATGTGGGTGTGAAGAAATGTGAGCTGCTGCAGTCAGTCATGTTACCGAGCTGATGCACAGCAGGGATGTTTTCTTCACATCAGCTCTTCATAGGAACCAACCGCGAGCAGAAAACAGGCTCCCTTAAAACAATATTTTTCACTGTTAGATAATTTACTGCATATTTACTGAGTGCATAGCATAGAGATCGGTTTAGCTGTGCCAGTCTCTTTTCATTCAAAAAGCAACGTTCTTAGACCAAAGGGTTTGACTGACCATACCAAATATGTGGTAAAGAAGGAAAAATGACGTAACTTACCAAGTTTGAGTTGCAGTGGGGGAATGTCCTGTGGATTTTGTACTAGTGGAGGTAACTTTCCTGCAGAATCCTCAGGTCAACAACTGATATAACTGCTCTGGTGGAAAGTTGTCAGTCTGTCCGTGACCATAAACACAGAGGAAGAACCAACACTCTCTGTGTACAGCTGCCAGAATCATGGAGCGTTCAAAGCTAAATTTACACGTATTCCTTTCCCCCCAGTGATGAGACCCGATGGGACGTAAATCGTCTAAACACGTCACGTTATCTGTAAATAAGTTCTCTTTAAGACGAACCCAGTCCAGAAATAATAAACCTATCAGAATTTTGATTTGTCAGTATTTTTAAAACGATTGAATTAAATTGGATTGAATTGAGCCATGACTTTCATGAGGCATAAATAAGATGAGACATAAAGATTTATTTCTGTCACTGTTTATAATGGGAAAAATAAGAGAACATTGCACTGAGCTGTAAGGCGCCAGATCGCCATAGTTCAGAAAATGGCTTCAAAAAAGGAACTACTTACCAAAGCTTGTCCAAATTACTGTCAAATTAAATAAATAAAAACAACATCTAGTAGGTTTTACTGAATCTCATGTTAAAGATTTAGTGCTAATCACTTTTAGCATCAACAGCCAAGACTGGCGTTTCGTTTCACATTTAAGTAAAAACAATAATCACATTACCCTTGCAATTCAAAATTCTGACTTCTTTTTGTAAATTATGTGGAGACTTTGCCTTTTTTTTTAAAAGAAATCTGGTTTCCAGTGTACAATTACTGAAGAGTGTTTCCTTTATGCTCTAAGACCAAGGAGGAAACAAAACTGTCTATCCAGTTTGAAGTATTTCCAAGTCCATCCTGTTTTATTGATGAAAAACAGATTAGATGTTGTAATATTTCCCTTGCAGATTTTAACTTTTTGAATTTTGAAGCATGAGAAAGCATGAAAATGCCAACCATGAATCATTTTATGTCACAGAACAAACGACTTAGCGAAGAAGTTTGCGCTTTTCTTCAAGTATCAAAGTGTTCAATGTTGTAAGGACACAGGAAGATTGCAGGTTGACAGGCTTTAAATAATTTTAATGTACAAAAGTTAGTCCTTGGATGTCCTCTGCAGACACAAACCCAACTTTGCAACTCCAAACTCTGACTCAAAGACAACTTTCAGAAATGACCTTTGAACTGTGTCACAATAGCTGGATGTGCACTCTTCATCTGGCTGATACGATCAGGAAAATAACATTTTCCTGTCAATATGAAGAAAAACTTTTTTTTTTACATTTAAGTTACAAGGAAATAAGTAAATAAATGAATCAGCAGTTGTGAGAACAAACTTTTTCTTCCCTCTCTCAACTGTCATAATGATATTGCATATTAAAAATATTCAGTGCAACTAAATAAGGGCAACTATGTCAACAGGAAGAGCAACACAGTATATATATAAATATGTGTGTAACTATAACTTGGTTTCTTTAGATTGGGAAATGTTCTCTTTCTCCATAGTTTCATCTTCCACTTTTTTTCTTCTCCTGTTTGAATAAAAACAGTCAACATTAGCTTTCTTCTTCAATAAAATCATTACGTTTTAAGCAATAACAGTAGCAGTTTAATACATTTGATTCCATATTAATACTATTTAAAGCAGCTTTTTTTAGACAATGTAAACAGTGGTGGACTCACCCGCAGATCTGCTGCATTTGCGGTAAAGACTCTGGCAGCGTTTTCCCAAACGTCTCTGGCAGAATGAAGCAGATAATCCCACCACAAATGGCTAAGACACCCATCACAATGTAAGGGAGCGCCTTGTAGTATTTCCCTGAAAATTAAGGAAGATGCTGTGAGAGGGCAAGGAAAACTTTTAGTACAAATTTTATGTTGACATTAAAAATGTTATGGTGTTCCCCAATTCATTTGTGACAACTGCCATGGAAACTTTTTTTTATGTGATTGAGTGAAAAGTTATAATTTCATAAAAAGTCATATGTTGCAAATAACACGTTCTAAATAAATATGTGAAAAAGCAGAGCATGTTGAAGCTTATTGTAATTAGCACAAACAGCCACCAGGTGGAGCAGTTTGACATAAGATTTTAGGTCAAAGCTTTTTTGCAAACCCTTTTTATCTATACATTTAATTTTTGCAATAATTTTTTAGAGGAACTATTTTTTGGCTTCAAATATTTATCAAAATTTTTTTCAAGTATTTAACTTGTAATTATTTACTCACAAAACGGAAGTAGCCTAAAAGAAATCAAATTTAAAAACAGATTTTTTTTGTTACTGTTATGTAGCAAACTTACGTTCTGTATTAAGGATAAGGTAAAAAGCAACGCACATAACACAAAATCCTCACACCTAATTGATTCTTACTTTTTTAAATTTAGTTTTGTTAATACACGTTGAAATAAGTTAATAAGTTACACATTAAAATAAGGACTAACACTTATTTGTCATATTTCAATCCCAAACTTCAGTCTTTGTATTATAATTTTACATATTAAGCCAATGCAAAGTTGCATAACAATTATATATAAAAATATTTTTTAAATAAGTCAAATCTAAAATGTGTGATGTGCATAGTAATTTTGCAATAGATATTTAACATACAATATTGTTTATCTTCTGTGGTCTTATCTCTGTTTTATGTAATATATATGGCAACATGTGACAATATGTATTTAAAATGCAAAAAGAGTGATTTTTGAAACCTCAAAAATTACATTTATGCGTTACTTTTTTAAATGTTTTCCAGAAATTGGAGATTAGCACAATGCTTTTTAGTTGATTTTGATTGCTTACCCAGATAGATGATGAAAGGAGAGATGATGGTGGCGATTCGGGCGGCCATGGAGCAGCAGCCCATCGCTGTATTTCTGATAACGGTGGGGAAGAGCTCAGTTGTGACTGAATACACCACACAGAACGCTGCAGTCACTCCAAACTTTCCTAACATCTCCAGCAGCACAGCCACAGTGGGCAGATCTGGACAATCAAAGAAGAACAATTAAGTTTCACATTTAATGTTTCATCAAAACATGGACTTTTTTATGGCAAGAAAAAGGCATCATTTCCTATATTTGTCCTGCTTATGCTAAATTCATTTTAAGCAAACAGAATAGCAGATTAACCGTAAAAATGCGCTGATAATCTTGTTAGAGCTGCACTGATATTCATTAGTTTTGTTAATTAACAGTGCTCCATAAAAGACTTGGAGTATTACCTTTGGGAATGAGTTGGACACAGAGGATCATGACGCCTCCAAGGAGCAAAGTGGAGGACTGACACACATGCCTGGAGCAGAACTGCAGCAGCAACAAGGCGATTATATACGCTGGGACTTCTGTCACAGCAGACAGGAAGCAGTTCAGGTAGGGGTCACCATTAAGATTGGAAGTGTTGAGGAGCAAAGCATAATAGCTAAGGGTAATGATTACCCTGCAAAGAGATTCACAAAACTCCCTTTAATGGAAAGTCACATGAGCAGCAAAAACTGCACAGTTAATTAGTGCAACTGGTAGAATAGTTCAAAACTTTGTCATACAATGAAGTTGAATACATACCACAGACTGGCACATAACAGTGTAATAGATGCTATATTGCAACTTTTCAGGATGACAAATATGTTTGTTTTCTCATCACTTTTAGACAAAGCATCTTCAATCTATGTGAAATAAGAGGAAATAGTCACTGCACTTGACAGACTCCATATATCAACTGTTGAAGAATCACTAAAAGAAAAAGTGTTCATATGTCTGACTTCAAGCTCAACGCAGAACAGATAAAAATGTTATTTTGAAGTGAGCAACATCTTTATAGCGATGTAGCTCAGGATAAACTTACCTCAGCTGGTCTGAAAATATCCTGAGGGATTTCTACTTTATTCATTTTTGCAGCATTTATAATAATTTCCTCTGCTTCTTTTATTCTCCCCTGAGAAAGCAGCCAGCGAGGAGACTCTGTGAGTAACCTGAACACACAACATCATCTGCACATCAGTTCATGACAACAGTTTATGAAGTGCTTATAAATGCATCTTTGATAGTGTGTGGTGTTAGGACTGGGATAATAAGTGTCAAAACTATTAAAGGTTGTTTTTGCATCTAATTTGAACATATTTTTTCTGTGAGAATGATAAAAAGATAAACTAAGATTTGACAGAGAAAATGCATACTCTCAAGACCTAGTTTAACAGAAAAATTCACTCACCTTAGAGAAAACCTACATGATGCTGAAACAAAACTTTTAAACCAGCTGAAAAAAATGCTAAGAAGCCACAAAAGAAAAATAACTTCAAAAGTATATTTTACATTTATCATGTACAAATAATAAATAAACCAAAGTAGTTTTAGTTAAGCCTGAGGTTCGGATTCACTTCATATCATGTATTGGTTTTACCACATTGACTGCATTCTTTTGAGGTCTTACATTTTTAGAAATGCATTTTCACACAAATGTTTTATCCTCCAAATTTGATCAAAGCATCAATTTGTAACAGCTTTTTATTTTTATTTATCCATTTGATCCAAATATGACAAAAAAAGATAATTTAAGGCTATACAGAACTACAAAAAAATAAAATAAAACAAAGTATTATGTAAAACAATGTAATTATTATATTTTGCTGTAGGTGTCCTTATCTTACCACCACAGAGGAATATAGATGAGTCCAGATGCAGCCATTGCGATCAGCAGCATTCTCCAGTCCCGGATGAAATAGGCCACCGCAGGCATTAGCATGTAGCCAACAGCTGAGCCCATAAAAACGCCCAGCGAGCAAAAAACAACCCGAGTTTTCGGGCTGAGAATTTCAGATCCTGCGTGTTTCATACAGAGAATATTTAAAAGTAGGAACAATTGCTATAAATGTCCTAAAAATCTAAACTATTTAATGTTTTATAACGTTAAATAGTGGTGTACAAAAGTTAGCAAAAACATTTTCCAAACTAATTTCTTATCCCAACAGTACATTGGACTGTACGATTAATAAATCATTTTCTGTTGAGGTATTATATGTTTGTATGACAGACAAGTTTGCAAAATTATCTTAATGTAATATCTTGGTAATGTGTTTCTGGCTTCCTGTCACAAAAAGAGACTTTTCTTCGATTGATTGACATAAATCCACCAAACAAACCAATAACAGACAGATTTTCTTCTTATTTAGTCAATTGTAATTGAAAACTTTGACAGCAGAAGTCGTTACCTGAATCTTTTCTGTGCAAGGTTGTTGTAAATACATTTTAATTGATCCTTAATATGCACAATTCTTTTGTCCTAACTTATCTGTAGAAACGCTCCAAATATTGAACAATATTATTAGCTGATTTGTTTTTCTCACCCAGAACAAATGCTATAGTGTAGTTGGAGTATCCTCCAGCTCCCACGAGACAAAATATGAAGGTGAAGATCTCCCAGCTGGGTGAAAAGATCTGTGCTGCCGTTGCTAAAGTTTGAAGAGCCATCATGACAAAAAGAATCGGTTTCCTCCCAAACCTGCGGAACATGACTGTTTGGATCAGCAAGATGGTATTTTAGTTTCCTCTGATGGGAAAATAAGTTTGCTTAAAGAAAAATCCTGAAAAGATACATACCTGTCAGACATCTGGCCTGATGCCACGGTTCCCACCAGAACCCCAACATAATGAATAGAGGTGGTCAGTGGAGATTTATATGCATTATCACACACCAAGTCCCACTGTAAACACAGGGTTTTGAAAAGGATTTTTATTCGACAATTTTCTTTATTAATAAGTATGTAAGAAAAAACATTTATGTTTCAGCTTGGTTATTAAAACCTCCAACCAAAACAGCCTGAAACAAGCAGGACATTGTTCCTGCAAGAAGCACTGGACGTAACGTTTAAATCACTAAAATATTACAGGAACAATTGAAAACAGGAATGCCCAATGCATTCCTCAGCAGCTTCTGTTTTTTAACTTTTAGATGCATAAAACACCAAAATAAGATGAATAGTTCATTATCAAGCCTCTGCAGAGCTGAATGCTGATTTCAACCATTTCATTTCGATGTGCCTCTGAAGCTGCAGGACAAGACTTTGCCAAAACTATTTTAAACGATTTGTTGGAAAAAAAAACTTTTGGCATTTTGAGTCTGAATATCATTTGAAACTTAGAGACTTCAGTGAAATCAGAGTAGTTTTGCAATATGCATGCAAGAAGTAATTTCTGCTTAAGTTTGAGTCAATCTAACTAAAGTTCAATACTCATCAACATTAAAAATTTTTAAACGTCTCTTATTGATCATGTAGAAAAGACCTCCAGGAAAAAGCCTGAACAATCCACTCTTTGAATATTTCAGGATAAAATCGTCTTACATCTGTAACGATGGTTGACTGGTAGACGTCTTTGCTGTATGTCCATCCATCCAGACACGTCTCCAGGGGAATTTCACTGACATTCACATCCACATTTGGGATCAAGTTCTTTTGAGAGTAGTTCCTGACTGTTTCCAGGTTAAGCCTCCAGCAGGAGCTGCGCTTTGTGACGCCATCGACTGTTTCCATTGGGACTGACACATTCCTCCACATCTCACTGATGCTGTTGTTCTCAGGAATCTGGCATTCATGAGGCGGAGTGGCGCCTACAAAAACGATGTAGATCCCAGTGAATCCGTTCGGGAGGATGCTGATGCCCAACGCCAAAAAAATCCTCATCTGAAAGCGTCCCCAGGATCCCAGGAAAGAGGTGATGGTGTCATAATCCCGGATTTTATGGTCGTCTTCTTCCTTACTGATTTCCTTCATTTTTAAGTAAAAAGGAAGGTAATATAGTCCATTAAGCTGATGTGCACAACACAGTTTTCTGCTCAGCTCTGTGTCCTGCAGAGACTTGGTTTGGACCTTAAAGCTGGGTTCACATTTTTAGATTTTCCCATTGAATTGTGGGAGGTCACACTGACATACAGCACTATAAAACAGGATTATCTCAGATTTATCTTAGATTCAATTTACTTCTCATGACTAAACACATTGTGAGCTCATTATTTAGACTTATCCTTTCCAGAATTCTTCAAATCATTCTCAGATAAATATAAAACAGTAATGAAAACTACGTGTTTCCATGGATACTTGTTTTTTCATTGCAGCAAGTTAAACAATGATCAGGATGTTTGCACAAGGCTTTGTTGTGGTTGCTCATATACTGGATCAAGGACCAAAGTCCTGAAAGATAGTAAGCCATAAAGACGAAAGCGTGCGTCTCAGATTGAACACAACGAACCTGATGACTTTTACTTAAGGCACAGATTTATCATGGAAAGTATTCTGAGCTACAGCTTTGATAAATAGGATAATTTGTAAGAGTAATCTTGAGCATATTTGTGGAGCAAAGTCCAGGCTATTTATTGTGCTGAAATAATAATCCACATCGTACTTGAGTTCCAGGAATACCTGGAAAGCAAAACAAGGCACCGAATTGTTTCCAATGCATGGAAGCACATATTATTCCTCACGTCTAAATGCGATTCTTTTAATCTTAACTCTCCTTCATGCTGGTTTATTGTCATGTTGGAAATGTAGCAACCCAAAAATAAATGTAACAATGTTGCTTCAATGCAGGATTTGTGCATATACTACCTTGGTGACCAAAGCTATAAATTTTACACGACATGAATCATTGTTGTCATTTGGTAAGATGATTTGTTTAGAAAGAACGTCAAGCTATCACAACCTATAATTTCCTGCAAAAATCCTGGAGACTCAGTATGTATTTAAAAAGCTGATGTTGGGGAAAGTGTGTAATTAACAACTATATTTAAATAATCGCATCATCTGCAAAGGAGAAATATTTAACCACAAACAGGCAGGTGACTACTGTCATCAAGTTAATTGGTAAATCCACCATAAAACAAAGTCAGGTTAAATATTTCTCTGCTATTTAGATATATTTGACTTGGATATAAGTCAAATATAACTAGATTATATTTAGATCTCTTACATGATCTAAATATAATAGATCACAATACATCTTTCTAAATAAACAACATTTGAATTTAGAGGACCAAAGAAACCTCTTAGTAAAGAAAATAAATGAACAACATTGTTCTCTCATAATATTCAATCAATTTATCAGGTTTTGAGTTGGGAAAATTCATGTGTGCATTATGGAAACTACACCTGAAAGACAAAAATTGAGACAAAAAATGTTGACCAATCACCAATGGTGCAAGTGGATACCCAAAAAATTTATTCAATTATTATTTTGTAACAATTCTACAAAATGTTTTAAATTCCGAAACATCATCGCAGTGAAAATAAAACCAAACACACCACATTATTTGCCTGTTTGATGTTTTTTTGGATCCCCAGCAGATATTTTATAAGATTCATTTACAAATCTCTGTTGAGAGATCAAGGCAAATTTTATTTTCTTAAGATAAAAAAATCTAAAGGCCTAATGTTTGCACTTCAGGTTTTTCTTGTAGAATTGGTCGATTGCGTGAAGCTCCATTTTGAAAATATTTCTTCTTTTCAGATCGTCCACAGAACCTAAAATGTATTTTAGAAATAAACATAATTAGTACCAGTTCAACATCAAAGTGAAAACTAAATGCTTCCTATTTCTGATTTCTTGCCTTTTGACAGAACTAGACTAAACGTCAATGAACTCATAAGTGTTGATACCTTTTCTTTGGTATTTTTCCAATTTGTTTAAACATTTCACATCATGTTCTTATACTGGACACTGTGTACTTCCTGCATGGAATATATTCTTAAAATCTGTAAATCAATTTAAGGTGCTCAAACTGAAAAATTGATGGCTCCAGCTATATGCTGCTTTTATCTGCGTTTCTGAGGTCAGAGGTCGGGGACCAGATATTATATTTACACCCGTCTCCATCCAGAATGTGTCTGGCCCCCGGGTTCTGCAGAACAGGACATTACCTGTCCGGATCACTACAAGAAAATTTACAAAAACCAGAAATATGAAATACAGCGGTCCTAATTCAAACCTCAGAGTGATCCCCTGCCTAAAGGAACCTCAGACTGAAAATCTTTGGCCTCCAAGCCACTTAAAGTAGCTCTTTTAAATATCAGATCACTCTGTGCTAAAGCTCTGTTAATTAATGATTTCATCACTGAGTATAATGTTGATGTTATGTTTCTGACAGAAACATGGTTGAATGACGATAATGACCAAATTGTACTCATTGAATCAGCGCCTCCTGACTACAATTTTTTAAGTGAGAACAGAAAACATAAAAAAGGAGGAGGCGTGGCTTCTATATTTAAAAATACCATAAACTGTAGTAAAATCTCTTTTGGTAATTTCACATCTTTTGAGTATCTTGGAATTCAGGTTAAAGGCTTCAAACGAACTTTGACACTAACTTTATACAAAACTCCAGCATATGTGGAAAATTTCTTTACTGACTTGAATGATCTTCTTTCTCTCATATGCATTGATTATGATTGTTTAATAATTGTTGGTGATTTTAACATTCATGTGGACAAACCCGAAAACAGAGGAGCAAAAAAGCTCTCTGATATTTTAGAAAATTTTGGTTTAACACAACATGTGAAACAAGCAACACACACTCAAGGACACACACTGGACCTGGTTATCAGTAAGGTGTGAATATTTCCAATGTCTCTGTAACTGATGTCGCCCTGTCGGATCACTTTGCTGTTATCTTTGAAAGTTGTTTATTCTTTGACCCACTTGGACAAACAGCTACTGTCACAAAACGTTCTTTCACAGAAAACACAGCAGAAACATTTAATCAAATCTACTCTTCCTCCTCACCCTTAAACTGTAATGATGTAGATAAGTTGGTAGATGATTTTCAGTCTAAAGTTTCATATATCATTGATTCCATTGCCCCAATTAAAGTAAAGGTTTTGACTGGTAGAAAGAAATCTCCATGGAGAAATGCACAAATAGTTCGGTCTGCAAGACAAGTCTGCCGCAGGCAGAACGACAATGTAAAACAACTTCACGTTCATCACGACATCTACAAAGAAAAACTACGTAACTATCACTTAACATTAAAACATGCAAGGGAGGCTTTCTTTCAGATGTCATAAACAAAAACATCAATAATGCTCGAACTTTATTTGCAACAGTTGACAGGCTCACAAACCCTCCTGTGACGTTTCCACCTGAATTCCAATCTAATGTTGCCTGTAATACGTTTTCTGATTTCTTTTCAGAGAAAATTCAAAAAAATCAGAGGATTAATCTGCACATCAACTTCAAAGCCAGAACCATTGCTGTACCAAAACAAAACAAATACAGAAAAATGACCAACTTTCAACTACTTAATTATAAAACCCTAGAAGAAATTATAAGTCAATTAAGTTCAAGCTCCTGCTGTCTGGATGTCCTTCCCACACATTTCTTTAAGAAAGTCCTGCCTGTTATTGCTACTGATCTGATCCAAATCGTAAACTCATCGCTTACATCAGGTGTTTTCCCCAGGCTTTGAAAACAGCAGTCATCAAACCACTGTTAAAAAAGAACAACCTGGACAAATCACTACTGCAGAATTACAGGCCAACCTCTGACCTCTGACCTCCCATTCATCAGCAAAGTTATTGAAAAAACTGTGTGTAAACAATTAAATAGTTTCCTCATGATGACCAACTGCTTTGACACTTTCCAGTCTGGTTTTCGTGCTCACCACAGCACGGAGACTGCCCTCGTAAAAGTATTCAATGATATCCATATAAATACGGACTGTGGAGAACCACGGTGCTGGTTCTGTTGGATCTCAGTGCAGCTTTTGACACTGTCGACCATGACATATTACTGAATCGACTGGAGAGTTGGGTTGGACTCTCTGGTTCGGTGCTCGACTGGTTTGAATCTTACATAAAGAACAGGGATTTCTTTGTTTCAATTGGAAACTTCTCATCAAAGAGGTCAAAGGTCACATGTGGGGTACCCCAAGGTTCAATCTTAGGACCCCTCTTATTTAATATTTATATTCTCCCACTAGCTCAGGTCATAACAGGAAATAATATTAGCTACCACAACTATGCGGATGACACACAGCTCTACATTACGATGTCACCAGGTGACTCTGAACCCATCCAATCACTGAATAAATGCTTAGAGCAGATAAATGTGTGGATGTGCCAAAACTTTCTCCAACTGAACAAAAATAAAACTGAAGTCATTATTTTTGGACCTAAAGAGGAACGATCTAGAGTCAATGCACAGCTTCAGTTATTACAACTAAAACCTAGCGATCAGGCCCGAAACCTGGGAGTAGTGATGGACTCGGACTTGAACCTCCAGAGCCACATAAAGACAGTAACAAAATCGGCCTTCTATCACTGAAGAACATCTCCAGGATTAGAGGACTAATGTCTCAGCCAGATCTAGAGAAACTCATCAATGCGTTTGTCTTTAGTCGCATTGATTATTGCAACAGCATCTTCACAGGCCTGTCCAACAAATCAATCAAACAGCTGCAACTGATCCAGAAGCTGCTGCTCCTGTTCTCACTAAAACCAGGAAGATAGAGACATAACACCAGTTTTAAAGTCCCTCCACTGGCTCCCTGTAGCTCAAAGAATAGATTTTAAAATACTGTTGTTAGTTTACAAATCACTGAACGGTTTAGCACCACAATACATCAAAGATCTGCTGTTGTTGTATCAACCTTCCAGACCTCTCAGGTCTTCTGGTTCTGGTCTGTCTGCATCCCCAGAACCAGAACCAAAAGAGGAGAAACAGCTTTCAGCATCTACACCAAAAATTTGGAACAAACTTCCAGAAAACTGTAAAACAGCGGAAACCCTGACTTCCTTCAAATCTCAAGTAAAAACGCACCTGTTTAGAGTTGCATTTGAAATGTAATATGTATGGATTTGATTTTGTGGATATGTATGTAATTTTTTTTTTTTTTTTTTTTTTTTTTTTTC